CATCATATTATTAAGAACACATTTAAAAAGTATGTATTAAATATAAATTGTCTCTTTTAGTATTCCGCATCTATTTTGACAAATTACCCTAGTAGCACAGTGCATTGGCTAAACATTTGCCCAATACAACTAAATATTGGACCAATGTTTAACCAATGTTTGGTCAATGCGCTGTGTTACTAGTATATTAATACAAGCAGACATATTCAGGCATCTATTAGAAAATTATAGTTAATTATAGATATTTTATAAATATATGATATTTATAAAAATATCTAAATTTTTATTCTTAAAAAATTACTAAATTCTTACAAAATAATTTTTTCTAGAAAAATGCGAAATGTAAAATAGCTTATTTCTATTTCTACATCTTATTTCATCTCTTTCGTTTGTTCTCTTTTCATAATCATCTCACAAAATAATTGCTTTTTTTCGTAAAATCAATATTTTATGTATTTTATAAAAAATATAAGTTATTACTGAACAATAATCCTAGTAATAGAGAAACTCAATTTCTCTAATTTATATTACATTATTATTGTTACCCGAGATAATTTAATGCTAACTGGATGTTGAAGCTGACAAAAGAAATAAACAGATGTAATTAATAAATTAATTAATAGATTGCACACAGTCAAAGGAGCTCATTAATGTCCGCATTCACACATATAAGTTTATTTTATAATAAATACTGTTATACGTATTTATATCTCTCAAAGCACCTTGTTCGAGAATATCGTAAACTCTCTGTCAAATCAAATCCGAATATTACACAGTAATAATTACCTGAACATTGCATCAATTCATACAACATCGTACGAACGGAGATTTTTATAAATTTTGGTTATAAATTCACACCAGATAATACTGCAAATGAAATTAACGTAGAAATCATGTCAGTATAAACTCCGCAACGAATATCTTCTTAAAACAGTATAATAAAACTTGTATACTATTATGAATGATAAAAAACGTAAGAAATCTCGTCGTGTCCATGTTGTCGCAAAAATTGATAACAAACCTCCACGTTTCGACGCATCTGTTTATTTGAAAGCTCACGATTTGCAACAAGATGCTATACGAGTTAAACAAATAGATAAAGAGAATATGAAACTATTGAAGAAAATTAACATAGTTCATCGATTAGGGGTTAGTATTGTTATATCTTATTTTATTAAAACTGATACAATTTAATTAAAGATGATATATTATAAGTTTATAAAACTCGTGGTTTATTTATTACATGCTTCTTAATATTATGGAAATTCGTTAAAGCTCATTTACCTTTAAGTAACATTAATCTAGATATGATGTGTACAAATAAAACGTGATAATGTTAATTATTATTAGGGACCTGTGGATTGTTGGGCACCAAATGTCAAATATAAATCAAAATTTATGGATCAAGATCGTAAAAACAATATAATTATGCGGCAAAATAGAATTGTACTAAAGAAAATCCACCAAGCGGAAAGTCAATATCCTGCTCGTAAATTTTTGAAAAACTGGAAGAGTATGCATGAAGCAGTGGAGCACCGTGCAAGGTTGTCTAATTAATATTCGGAAAAAGAATTGTATAGTAACGTAGCTTACACTTCTGCTTAAAAATTTGCATTTTGTAATTAAGCTTCTATGTATTCTTTCAATTATGCAGATACATGTCAGTTATTGAAAGAATGTCCGTTGTACTAGATGTACAAAGGCAACTATCTGGGAAAAGTCAAACGAAATGTTTCTTTGACATTGGGCTTAAAGAAGAAAATCAAAAATTAGGGCGCATAGTATTTGAACTCTATGACAATGTCGTACCACGTACGTGCGAGAACTTTGCAGCTTTCTGCCGTGGAGTGAATGGATTGTCATATGAGTACATAAATTATATTATAGTATACATATGTGTGAAAAAGAAGACATTATTATAGATTTATATATAATAATCATATTTGAAATTGTACTAAAGTTGAAATTTATCAGTTTATTCAAGACTGTGTTTATTAAGTCCAAGGCTTTCCGAAACATTTCATAGAAAATTCATAATTTATAGGCGTACTCCATTTCATCGTATCGTCTCTGGCTATTGGTGTCAAGGAGGAGATGTCACAAAGTTTGATGGTACCGGCGGTACTTCCATATACGGTGACTCATTTGATAAAGAAAACTCTACTCTGCATCATGCAGGACCTGGATTCCTCTCTACATGCGACAATGAAGACGGAAAAAACGATTCCAAATTTAATCTTACATTTAAATGTTTGAAAACTGTAGATGGAGATAAGACCGTTTTCGGCCGAGTAATAGATGGATTGATGAACATTTACAAGGTAACATTTTCCTTTTTTTTAACAATTTAACTTTATAAATATATGTGTTATCATTTTATTTTGTTATTACAATTTATTTTGTTATTACAATTTTATTTTGTTTCCTTTTTGTGCTTTAATGTTCGATTTTACCAAAATTTAATCAATTTTGTCTTCAATATATTAAATTGAAAAAATCTGTAAACAATTCTAAAATTAATATACAATAATTTAATGTACTTATTTTATGTTACCTGTTAGATAAAAAAAGATAAAATAATAAGTTTCAGCAGGTGCTATTTTGCTTTACACGACTACTATAGGCACGAATTTATGTACATATATAAATCTTACTTTGACTTTTTGCAAATATATTCTGCATCATTATTAAAAGAAATTTCATACAATATGAGTAGTAATTTCATGTAGTATGAGTTAGTAGGATATGTAGATGAAACATATAGGTAAAACATAAATGTTAGCATTATATTGAGCTCGAATACGTGGGTTCGCTAAATCCAAATAATTGTGCATTACTGCAGGATAATTAATTAATTTTGTATTATTTTAATTAATATATGTATAAATGTACATATATGAACAGCAGCTCTTTGTAATGCTATCCAACTTCAGTGATCGATTACGTCAGCGATCGATTTTTTTATTTAGGAAATATAATACATGGCGTAGTTATAAGCCCATATTGCCCTGATTGCATATAGATGAAGAGCTTTTAAAATGTCAAAACTTGGACCTTTTTGTCTATTGATTACGTAATGCCATTGAAATATGTGCCGCCATCTAGCAAAGAGCTTGCAAATTACATACAAAGACACGTATCGATTTTTTTTAATAAGAATGTTATACTATAAATTAAATTATTTATATTATTGTATTTTATATTATATTTGAAAGATAATGTAAATATAATTTATTAGCTTATTAGTTACCTCATTAACTTTTAATATTAACGTCGTAATCGTTTTATGTGTATTACATATATAGAATTGAGAATAAATATGTATTTTTATATTCAAAATTTGAAAACGACAAATTATTAAATTTGTCTTTTATCTGTTATTTTTCTATGTATAATATTTTATCAAATGTTACAACATAAAAGTTGGAAAAGATTATTCTAAAAATATCTTCTCAATGAAATAAATGAGAGAAAGGGAGAATTATTTCGTATTTTACAGGTAATGAAAAATTTTATTTTTATTGTATCACTCAATATCGTTTTACGAGAGCTTTAATTATCTGCGCGTTTAAATTTGACCACAGAGTAGTAGTAAACTGTTAATGTCTGCCATCTGATTAAACAGATCGAGGGATTCGGTACGAAGACTGGAAAGCCAATAAAATCGGTGATTGTGTTAAATTGCGGAGTCCTATCGACAAAACGTATGTATGAAAGGCTGTCCAAGTTTCAAATATGAGCAGACTGCATTATTTTCACATGCGAAAATGTAATTTATAACTAATTCTATGTAACACAATCGTAATTTCAACATAATTTTGTTAGAAATGTATGATTGTAATCAAAAACAAATTATTAATAATCTATTTTATAAAAAGATCAATTATTTGATTGATTGTATATATATTCTAAACTTGATTTAAACAATCAATTCGCAGATAATGAAATTTAATCTTGTCATTATGAATACACCCCTATGCTAGCAAAACAGAAATGCCTATGATGGTTAGTATTCATATTCAGTACGACTTGTTAATTAATTAGAGTTTTAAATAGACAGAGTTTAATAGAAACTTTAATTAAAAATTACGTTAATATGTGTGTATAAGAATTTTCGAATAGGTACCGGTAAAATTTCCCTGAATTTTTCTCCAGTTTTCAATCAAATACCTCTCATTAAATATTTTTCGAGCAATGTTCAAGTCCATTTTAGAACACAGTCACGTATTTTACAGAAAATATAAAAATAAATAAAGTTGCGGAAACAAATAACGCATTCAGTTGATAAAAAAATATAAACGAGCAAAAATAAACGAATATAAATTGAGACATAAATTAAATTGATAGAATATATATGCACATGTCGTAGGATTACTGTTTTAAATGCAGGTTACGTATGCAATTTAAAAATTGGAGCTCACGTACAGTTTGATCATAATCTTGATTGATGAATGGACTAGGATATGCATAAAATAAACAAGTGAGCAAACCTCATAGTTACCGCTTCAACAAAAGTTGTGATAAAGTTAAGACGAGAAGTTTAGACAAGTTCTGAATTATTTTCAAACCTTTAAACGTTTAAGAATAAATATACATTTCTAAATTGTAATTGAATCACATTATTTTTAAATGCTACTTCTGTTACACATACTACAAAAGTAATGCACAAGATGTCTTAAGGCAAGACCGTATACTTCAAATCCAATTTCAGAAGAGATTGGAGAACGTGAGTTTTGCTTCATCTCGTTTATCTCATGACTAACTGTAATGGAGTCAGCATAATCAACATAACAACAGATGGAAAGTTTTCTTGTGGACACATCCGAGCTTTACGTTCCTCGTTTTGCGGTCGCATTATACACGTGATGCACTTGGTCTTTTACGATTTTAAAAGATTTGCCGGTTGTTTCCAACTCCCGGCATGTATCGACCGCAAGATATTTCTGACATTCATTGAGATGTCTATCCCCGCCTCGGTCGGATGTCCCACATTCCGCGAAATGACGCATATCTCGCATTCACAACATTAATCCGACTATTATGCTTTCGAGTATGTCGTGATAATCGATCATCCTCCACCTTTTCAACCCCCCTCCTCTCTATTTTATTTTAGTCTTCCTTTTCTCGTAATTATTATGATTATTAGTTCTGAGCGACGTCGCAGTTACAAATATACTAAGAGTTGAAAGGAAATAAAATATAGAGAAATGAAATATAAAAATGAAATATAATTATGAAGATAATAAAAAAGATGTTTTTACGCTTACTTTATCCGTGAACTTCAAATTGTTCTTCTCAAAAAATACTGTCTCTGTTTCTTTTCAATTGCAGAACGTATTTTTTTGTATATTGATAACGTTAAGTTTATACACTGGTCAAAAAAATTAACGCAACAAGAAATTTACATCAAAATTTGGCGAATTTCAAATAAGCGTAACTTCGCGAAAACTGGTCAAATTGAAAAG